AGATAAAGTAGATTTAAAAACTAATTGTTTAACTGATTAAATATTTATTTTAGGTTCGTATTTTGTCAGATTCAAATAAAAAGCTGAAGCTTCATGCTGCTGAGAGTCTGGCTAAACTAGCAAAGTTTAAAAAGGAATTTCCAATATTTTGTTTTCAGGCAGAATGGAATTGAGTCTTAGCCGCACGCTAACAACCTGATGTGTATAAACTTTGATATTTCAAACTTAGACTTTTTCATCTAATATCAAAGATCTACGCCATTGAGTTGCTAAGTGATTAGAAAATCTGAGTTTGTAGCGAAAACTCAATTCCTTTAAACAAAGTTCTTTAGAACTCAAGGAGGGTGCTAGAAACTTGTTTGTGTCTAGGCGTAATACTATTACAGGAGGACAGATAGAAAGATAGATAGATAGATATATAGATAGATAGATAGATAGATAGATAGATAGATAGATAGATACGTAAAATGTAAATAGATAGATAGATAGATAGATAGATAGATATATGGATAGATAGATAGATAGATAGATAGATAGATAGATAGATAGATAGCTAGATACGTAAAATGTAAATAGATAGATAGATTTAAATTAAAAAATTTAGAGAAAAAATATTTGCAATTTTTTCTGAAAAGTTATCTTATTTTTAAACAGTAATACAATAGATTTTGTTTTTACACTTCTCAACATTGGTTTTAAAGAATTAATTTAATAAAATAAAATAGAAAAAATCAAAATCAGAAATTAGTGATAAAGGAATTATTTGGAATTTAAACAAAACTACATTCAGAAGTTTTAATGATACTGGTTACTGCGTAAATATCCTGCAAAACGGAGGGGAAAACAGAGATATATATTTTTAACTGGACTTTCCCCTTTTTCCTCATTTTTTAAAACTTAATTCATAATTTTTCTGGAATTTCTTTTATGACCAATTATTGTTATGTTTTATATTTGTTAAGATATCACCTTGAAAGTGGGGCGTACCGACTAGGCATAGATTTAGGGATGGAGGATTAAATATATTGGATTGTAAAGGAAAGGAGGATTAAAATATTGGTATGTATAGAGAGGGAGGATTAAAATATTGGAGTTTATAGGGAAGGAGGATTAGATATATGGGAGTGTATAGTGAAGGAGTATTAAAATATGGTACTAATATAGGAAAGGAGGATTAACATATTGGAGTGTATAGGGATGGAGAATTAAATATATTAGAGTGTAAAGGGAAGGAGGATTAAAATATTTTGGATTGTACTGGAATGGAGGATTAAATATATTGGAGTATATAGGGAAGGAGGATTGAATATATGGGATTGTATTGGAAAGTAGGATTAAATGTATGGGAGTGCATAGGGAAGGAGGATTAAATATATGGGATTGTATAGGGAAGGAGGATTAATTATATTGGAGTGTATAGGGAAGGAGGGTTAATATATTGGAGTGTATAGGGAAGGAGGATTAGTCATATTGGAGTGTACAGGGAAGGAGGATTAGATATATGGGAGTGTACAGGGAAGGAGGATTAGATGTATTGGAGTGTATAGGGAAGAAGGATTAGTTATATTTGAGTGTATAGGGAAGGAGGATTAGATATATTGGAGTGTATAGGGAAGGATGATTATATATATATTGGAGTGTATAGGGATGGAGGATTAAATATATTGGAGTGTATAGGGAAGGAGGGTTAAATATATTGGAGTGTATAGGGAAGGAAGATTAGTCATATTGGAGTGTACAGGGAAGGAGGATTAGATATATGGAAGTGTATAGAGAAGGAGGATTAGATGTATGGGAGTGTATAGGGAAGGAGGATTAGTTATATTGGAGTGTACAGGGAAGGAGGATTAGATATATTGGAGTGTATAGGGAAGGAGGATTAAATATATTGGAGTGCAAAGGGAAGACGGATTAGATATATGGAAGTGTATAGGGAAGGAAGATTAGATATATGGGAGTGTATAGGGAAGGAGGATTAAATATATTGGAGTGTTTAGGGAAGGAGGATTAAATATATTGGAGTGTACAGGGAAGACGGATTGTGAGAAAGAATAACGGAATTCCGAAAATTGTAGATTTGCTTGATGTTGATACTTCCAAGTGAGTATTTATCTATTAATGTATTTTTTCAATCTATTTCTATTAATCTTTCTATCTTATTTATCTCTTTCTATTAATCTTTCAATCTTATTTATCCCTATATCTATCTTATCAATCTTATCTGTAATTTTATCTTATCGATCTATTTTTTTTATTAATCTTAATTATTATTCATGTTAAAAAAAGAAAGAAGACAATTAACCTTTCATTATATTTCATTATATGATAATATTTTAGACCTGAAAACCACATAGATTACAATTCCGTGGAACTAACATCTACTTTTTTGTTCGGTCCACCATCACCGAATTTTAAAAATTTCATTATATTCTGGTCACCACTGTTTAATATTTTAGACCTGAAAACCATATAGATGCAACAGATGCTGACCTGTCCTTGGATATGCAGGTAAACCTGAAAGGTGGGGGGGGGGGGGG